CCACTGTACATCTCCCATGATGCATGTAGATTTTACATGGGAATTCCCTGTTGGAAAGTGGAAGAGTTTTGACTCAGCACAACTGAACAGTGAGTAAAACTCTTACTTTTTCTTTTAATAGTATTTCTGTATTATTTCATATTTAATCAGTTGCACACATAGTGTTTTTCAGTGTTTATAAGAGGACATGTTAAAACTATGTTTCTATGCAGGAAATACCAGGTAGAGTTCAGTTAGTTTGTTAGAGGTGCTTGGTTGTATTAACGAGATGAGGAATGTGACGATTAGTCAAAGTAAAACATAAAACGATGAAGTTAACTACTGGCCCTTTGAGGGCCACCATTAGGCTGATGTGGCCCTGGGTGAAAATGAACTTGACACCCCTTCATTAGAGCAGACAGGATTTTGAGTTCAGCAAAACTTCTAGCCACAGAAAATAAAAAATAATCAGTCAAAAGATAGTGTATTTCTAGAATATTGCTAAGGATCACTGTTAAATCATCTTTAATCAGCCAGCAGCTGAGCAGGTTTTTTCCATTCTGATGCATATTTGGAGTCACATCAGTCCAACAGAACATCCTGCAGTTTGGATCAGGACAGACGATCAAATATACACTTTAATATCAGCGAGATGAACCATATGTTTACAGAAGAAAGATCTGATAGACAGAGTTGCACATAAAGGGTGCGCAGGTACGCGTGCGCGGTCAAAAAAGAAAAAAGAGCACCAGATGGAACGTCATGAAGCTCCCTTGTGTACCTAAGATTGTACCTGGTTGTCTGTCAAAACAACAGGTAGCAGGGCTCTAGAGTGCGACCAGTTTGGTTGCAAACGCGACCTGATTTCTTAAAAAATAAAAATAAAAAAGAATCCAGCCGCGGTGTGAATGGACTGTTTTGCGGTGAGCAACAGCGGGACCCTGATATAAGGATTAAATGGATACTTCCTTCAACAAATCAGACTAAGTCCAGAGCCGTTTTATCCAATCAGAGCAGAGCAGGGCGGGACTTTCAGTGAGAGCAGGTTTGGTTGAAGCAGTGGACCGGCTCGAGTTGACTGGAGCTGCTGCAGCAATCAGCCTGACATCTCCTCCTCTGCTCCTCCTGCACTTTGCTCCTGAACTACCAGAGACTTTGGTCTGTAAAACCTAACTTTATATTAAATATATGTTCAG